GATGGCAGAGTCGATCAAGCTCTTAAGGAGAAATATGCTAGCTATCGGAAATAGTCGAACTTGCATGTAACCTCCTTTTCATCTTCGGCATGAGTCAATGGTCGACCATATTCTAACCGCGGGAATATACGGTGCATGTCGAGTTGCGGTCAGAAAACTCCAAGCTCGTCATCATGTACATTAGGTACCTAACTTATTAGCGCAGCAGAAAAAACTTGATCAGACTGGGGTCTAGGAATACCACGCTTCTACTCCATGAGGAATACCGACTTTATTTTATGCCTGAATATAAGCTATTTTCATGCCTACCTATAACTCATTTTTTATTACAGGTATTCTTTGGGGCTTATAACGCGCCTATGAGTTAAGTACACAAAAGTACATTTCCAAGGTCCTACATTCATGCACGTACCATTTCTCCATGGAAAGTGTTACCGTAACTTGATTTTTTTTAACGTTGCAACCTTGCACGTTCTTAACTCTAGAAAATATACGTTTCTTTCTTTGTTGTCACCAACACGACGTCTTCTCCATTTGTCTCCAACTACCTCTTTATACTTGCGTATATCACTTCCGGCAAACGCTTCTAGACATTGGTCGCCCAAATACTCATATTAATTTGCAATCTAGCATATTGCGAATATCGCAAATATCACCTGCCTTAGTATTCGCGTATTCTACTGTATTGTCTGTATAATAAATCTCAAAATTACCTGGTAAATGTTTTTCTTAGGCTGTGCACGTCATCAGTACATCTATAGGTACATATATTAGGCGAATGACCTCAATCACATGTCTCCATAAATTGCCCCGCCACGGAGAAGAGCTAGTGGATTTCTGAGTTCGCATGCGCACGCACACACAAAACAACACTGCGCCCCCATAAGAAACTTTCCGTCTTGATTTTTTTTTTTAATTTCCCTCTTGTCTACTTGCTAGAAAAGACAAAAAACAAACTATAGAAATATACAACAACACCAAAGTTCTCGAACGGTCCCTTTCAGATCCCGTCCCAAACGCACCGTGCCACTATTTTTTAGATCATATAAAGCTCTCTCCACGCCCGAGAGAATTCGACTCGACCGACTCCTACCAGCAAGCAGCAAGTCGCGAAACTTCTTAAGCCTCAATTCCATCTCGACTTGCCTTTGGTCTTTTCAAAGGCAGCCCAATTACTACGGCTCCCGCAGCCGTTAGCTTCGTCTCTGATCAAGATTTCAGTCTGCGAAAGACTTTCCACATCATCAATTCGAGGCCACCTCCACCCACTTCTGCTGAAGTCGCTTAAAAAAACACAAACGCCTATCTTGCTCGATAATATACCCCAACTAAATCCTTTTCTATCACCAACCCATCAGCTGCCGCATAGGACGAGTTCTAAGGTTCTTCCTCTAATCGAGGGAGAGTCGAGGAGACCTCGTCAGATCGCTTCGGGATCAGGAAGCTACCGTTTTCGACCCCCCTAACATCCACTTGGAGGAACACGTTTCTAGTTTCTTGACTCTTAATACAATATTGTCTATCCACTTGTTGGATAGGATTTAAAACTACGAGAGTTCACTGTGGGATCCCTTACCTTTACAACCCTCCTCGTCACTCACCCGATCGGCTTCCTTCACCGCCAAATTCGAGGGATATGGTTATGGCAACAGCCGCCGTCGACCGCTTTGCACCGTATCACTTTGATAATCATCTTCTGAGGAAGAATTTCTTCTTCGATCAACACCATCAACACAATGGCGCCGTGATCGCTAAACAGTTGATTGGCGATGCCCTTCGCCACCGTGTTGAGAATATTGACCATGAGTCTTGTGAACCAGGAGATGAGGACACATTTTTTGTAGGCGATCTTGGCGAGGTCTACCGTCAGCACATGAGATGGAAGAAGAATCTTCCACGTGTGAAGCCATTTTACGGTATGTCTTACTAAACCTTGATTCTCCCCTATTCCTCAATTCATATACTAATATGATTCACAGCGGTCAAGTGCAACCCAGACCCTAAGGTCATCCAGCTCCTCGCTGCATTGGGCACCGGTTTCGATTGTGCTTCTAAATCCGAGATCGAGCAAGTCCTGAATATGGGTGTCGATCCAGCTCGCATCATCTATGCTCAGCCATGCAAGACCAATTCTTACGTGCGCTACGTCGCCAACCGAGGCGTCAAGCAGATGACTTTTGACAATGCCGACGAGCTGCGCAAAATTGCCAAGCTCTTTCCTGACGCCGAGTTATTTTTGCGCATTCTGACCGATGATTCCTCAAGCCTCTGCCGTTTGAGCTTGAAGTTCGGCGCATCCCTCGATTCTACCGATGAACTTCTAGCACTCGCCAAAGAGCTCGGATTGAATGTTGTCGGCGTGAGCTTTCATGTAGGCTCAGGGGCATCCGACCCCCTTGCTTTCCTCAAGGCCGTTCAAGACGCGGATACCGTATTTAAACAAGCTTACGCTCACGGCTTTGACTTGCAGACACTCGATGTTGGGGGCGGATTCAGTGGCGATACCTTTGAGGACATGGCCCACGTTCTCCGTGATGCTCTAGACGAGTATTTCCCACCCCACGTCAATATCATCGCCGAGCCTGGCCGTTACTACGTTTCCTCGGCATTTACTATCGCTTGCAACATCATAGCTCGTCGCACCATAGACAACCCAGTCACCGGTGAGACCAGCTTCATGGCTTACATCAACGATGGACTATACGGCAACTTCAGTAGCATTATGTTTGATCACCAACATCCGGTTGCTAAGGTGTTGCGATCGGGCAACCAAACATACTACAATACTGCTCTTGCTGACAACCTTCCTGAAGGTGACAGCACCGGCATTGAGTACTCAATCTGGGGGCCTACTTGCGACGGCATTGACCGCATCACTCAGAGTATTCGTTTTCCCCACGAACTCGATGTGGGTGATTGGTTGTACTTCGAAGACATGGGTGCCTATACCAAGTGCTCGGCCACTAAGTTCAACGGCTTCAGCGACAGCCACGATGTCATCTACATTTGCAGCGAACCCGGCGCTAGGGCTCTCATGGATTTCTAGGTTTTTATCTTGGTAATCATGAGACATAGTCCTAGCCCGTAGAGCGACGGGGCAAAAAGTTATAATGCTAGAAGTGGTTTTTCTTTTAGAGAATAGACTTAATAATGGCTTAGTCGTCGCTATCCCAGAAGGGACCATCTTCCGTTCGTATCACTCTGTTTATAGACCCAGTTACCCCGGCCAAAAAGTCCGGTGCATATAGATAAAAAAAGAATTGCTTTTAATAGCGGTACACCCCCAACATTATCTTCCCCACAAAGTATGTGATACGCATGCAGTAATTTGTAACCCAAATAAAACATAATACGAGGTTAATAAAGTCATGATTTGACCTAACTTAAATTTTAACCAACTCTGGATCAGATATCAGAAACTGAAGTACTAACAAGTAGATTATATTATATTAATCCTAGATTTGTTTAGCTTGAGTCAGGTAATACGATATAAAATCTTAAAGAAACCAAAATAAAGTAAAGTTTATCAGTTTTAAATCAGACTTCGGATGCTCAAATGCTTTTCTCAATCTTTATCAATCCAGTCTTAGAAATCGCAATCCATCTTAAGAACAATTCCCCTATTCTCCTCCAAATCACAACTTTTCGATATAATCATTTACATCATCAAACCATTAAACATTAAGGATAAATTTAGATAAACCCGTGTCCAAAATATTAGCTCTCTGCCCAACGTTGTCAATTTTAAATTATTCATAACCGTTAATGTTAAAACATCCACAGTGGTAGATTTAAATGTGTTTAATCAAGCCAGTGAAAACAGAATACATTTCTGCCTTTATAATCTACAATAAGAAATGAACTTAATCAAAGTCCTGGTTCTCCCTTACAGACCTAGGTTACGGAAATAAAATCTTATACTGATTCATATATTGTCGGTATATGGTCTGGAAACAAAAAGACAAGCTTTCAAAGAATGAAAGCAAGAAACTAATGTGTTTTCCTGCTCGAGAAGCAACTTATTCTACCTACTTATAATAGAGATTATTCCATCATATACCCTACGGTAGATAGTTTTGGGGATATAAAACACATGTAGGTGTCCCATTACAGATTTAAGAGATACATGACCATAGGTATTTTAAAGCACACAACGAGCAAAGCAAAATACTTAAAAACGGTACTAAAGCAAGAACTATCGGCATAGATGCTTCGTACCTACTTGTAGATGAGCCCTGACGTGGCATACAACCTCTATGGTCAGTGCGTGTGCCTTATACAAAGACAGCTAAGCAAATTTCCATCCCTCCTACTTGCCTTTCTTGCGGCTATGCTATGCCGGTGACCTGGTTGAAGTGAATTTAATGTGTCACATTTAAAAACTTAATCCGAAGTGGTTAGGTGGGAAGTTTCTTGCTCGAATAACTGCACAGGTAATCGTGTAGTTTCCAGAGTCCAGTAGATACGTGAATGATGGTTGGTTGTTCAAGAAACTACCTAATTCACGCAAAAGTAAGGTATCTTAGGAGGTACCTAGGCAGGCACGGAGTCCGATAAGGAGTAGTTGTCTACTTCGTCCCTTCCACTCACCTTGGTAACAAGGGCAGTTGTATCCTCAGGGACCTGAGTTCGCGGCTGTCAACGGGCATTAAAGTTTGTTGCCCGGTGGCGTTCACCCGGACAAGGAAGTTGCGCAGATGCCATTGGTTCTGAGTAAGGTACCTAGGTTCGCCGTTCTTTGGGAAACAGCGTCGTTGTTTCCGCACTGCCTGATTGTATTGCAACAGTAGGAAGGTGCACGTAACTTGCTCTTTCTCTACGTACACATCTAGAGCCTCAAATATTTTCTATATAAACATAGGCACCTCCCACCCATCTCTCCCAAATCCTAACTCAACCACAACAACAACCACAACCACTTCTCATACCTCCAAACCACACTCAATACCAATCACTTCACATCTTCATACCACACTCCAACCACCTCAACCACGATCAAGATGAAGGTCATCTCTGCTGTCGCCTTTGCCTCGCCTATCATGGCCGCTGCTCTCGGTCGAGCTGTGACCCCCATCGCCGATCAGGCAAAGAGCACTTTCGCTGAGGTTAGTTCCAAACTCCCCAAGTCAAGTTCTCGTGAATAAACACAAGTACCCGATAATTGCTAACATAGGTATCTACAATAGCTCGATGACATCCAGGTCCTCTGCGGTGTTCCCAAGCCCGACAACGAGCTCCCCGCTACGTCCTACAGCTACCCCATCGGCCTGCTTCTCAGCAGCGGAGACAAGCGTCTTCACATCGATGCCGGCCCAGGCAACTGCAAGCAGGCGGCCTGCGGCAGCAAGAGCGGTGCCGGTGTCATCGTCTGCAACGACGAGAAGAATGGCGTCGATCTGTTGTACTCGGACATTGTAAGTCATACTTTTTCTCTCCTCTAATCCCCTTCTTTGGATGTGGTAAATAGGATATAACTAACACTGAATTCCAGGGATTCTTTGCCCAGCAGGTCTACAACACGTGCAAGCATCGCCGCGATGACATCGACTACGTCGAGAAGGGCCAGGCCTTCTGCCCTGACGGCTGGAACGTGATCCTGACCGATGTTGGCACCGACTGCCACGCCTCGACTATCCCATCCAACTAATTCACCCATTGCCTATCTACGCTGTGGAGGACTAGTCTAGGTCTTTCACCTGACGGTGGTCAGAAGATAGTGCAGTACATGAGTTTTCTACTTTATTAGTTGTTAGTCGATTTACGACGGACAGTTTCGAGTTGATAGTGTTGGTCATATTCGACCTGGAGACATGGTACCTACCTACTTTAGTTAGCTAGGGAACGTCCCATCACTGAATAAATGCGAACTGAATTTCAGTAATCCACGGAGTTAAATTTCACGTGATAGCCTCTCTTTTATGACATGTCCGTAATAAGTAAGAATAATTTCAGAGATTATTGTTTTCCATAAATAATCCTTATGAAAACTTGCTCATCTCTCATACTGCAAATGTGAGTTTAAGCTTGTTATGTGTGAAAATCGAATCTTAAGAAATTGTTCAATGAGAATTTCTATACTTAGAAGAATAGTAGGCTCATTACAACAAAACTCAAAGTGAAAGATATAAATTTAGAATGAGATAGTATTGAAATATAAGATAAACATTTGGTTTTTCTGCATTTGCACTCATGCTATTTTCACCTCCTTTGTTTATTGAGTATCCACTTCATTCAACATATAGGCCTTGAACATTAGTGTCTTATGCAATAGTTACTATGACGTTTTGTTAAGTCTTAACACGGCCATCTCAAGCCCCCGAAGCTACTTAGCAATGTCATTAGGAGTAGCATGAGACAAGTCAGTCAAGATAGATATACAATCTAAGCCTATATAAGTCATTGGATATTCCTTATTGATGTCATAGGCTGAATTGACATTTTAAATGGCGGTATTGTTAGTCCATAGCACAGCAATCTTGAAAGGGTCTTGATGAGGGGCTCACATACCCAAATTTTGTAATATTTTTACACTTGCAAAATGTCCACCTCGATTTCTTTTTATATAAACAAGCTCTTTAGGGGAAATGAATGATACGTGATTCACAGTCAACATAGACGTATAAATAAGGGTTGTCCCAAGTGGATATGAAAAGCATGTTAATATGGTATGGTAGGTACTTCCATGCCTGATTACACGCCTACTAGATATTAAAGAATTCATTATCATCAATGGAACCGAACATTGAGCCTTGTTTGATATCTAGGTACATAGGTAGGCACTTAAGTACATAATCCTTGGTACATTAGCGTATAACCTTAAATTGCGTCATATGATGGCGCGTTCGTCTCGCGTGGTGAGTGGAGGCTTTGTCGGTACCACAGTACTTTCCTTTGTTCAAACTGCCCGAAAAGTCTCCCTTTAATTGATTTGCGGTTCTGCACCGCGTCTTTTCCGCCTGATTTTTCACAAGTCCGAGATGTAATATCATGACCTATCAACATGGCTCGCAAAGCTGCGAAATCGGTTGCCGCAGCAGAAAAGAGAGCCATAGCTTGCGAAAATGAAAGCCAGGATAGTCAAGATATGTTAGAGATGCACATGCTGCGGCATGGGGTGGGAGTGGTAAGTGGTATTCCGTAAAATGATCAGCACTGGGTTATTTTTCTGGCCTAACCACGGCGAAAACAGCTGAGTAGTTCGCCTGCGCCTATGCAGCCACCCTATCAATCGAAACGAAGTGCCTTGGTATCAAGCATCAGACCAACAAAAGCAAATATTTCGCATTCCCTGGATCGGTCGGAAGAAGCGCTAAAAATAACTAAGGTACGTATGATATGCGCAATCCTATTGCTACGTTGACTTGGCCTTGATTTTGGCAAGGGTGGCACTGATCTAATTGCATCCCACTAGGAACGGCTACAAAACGCGTCGAACGCGCTCATCGAGCTAAGTGCTGAGGATGATTCAATGAAGCAATCCAGCCAGACGCGACTAAACTCCAACTCGTCGGTATCGTGTTCCCCCTATCTGCCGTCGACTTTAGAGCCCGGAGAACCTGATCTGGCTTCTATCCAATCAATATGCGACAATGCTATATCTACAGTTGAGCGACCTACTCAGCCAATTATAAATGATGCGCTGCCTACTCTTCAACAATCGAATACACCAAAGGGAAGATCAGAAGAAATGTCGTCAGGATCGCCAACGCAATCAAACGACGGGCGTAGTTATGAGCAGTACAACGACAATTCGCAGCTGCAATTAACATCGCAGGCAAGCAGCGTTCACGAACACCCCACTCTTGGCGAAAACGACACAGGGTACTTAAATTTTAGGCGTACTCATTACGACATACCAGACTCTATACCAGAAGGGGACGAAGAAGAAGCTGAGATAGATTTTGCTAGCATTGCTGCTAGAAAGTCGCAACCAACATCGGAAGCGCCTAGAGCAAGTGGCCAGTATGCAGCGCCTCCCGAGACACCTACCATAACCCAGAAGTTATTTCAACATCGTGGGGATGAAGCCCAATTGATCCCCCCATCGCAGCTTTTCGGGCAAACACAATGGACTTCGGCAGTGCGGAAAGCTAGTCCCACGTCGTCTCGTCCATCGCCTGATGTCTTTAATCAGAATACAATCTCACCTAACCCAGTCGCCTCGTCTCCCCTAAAACACAAGGGGCTTAGGACTTCCCCTACTCGCGCTTTTACCTCAAGTCCAACGTTTCCTGGAATCTCATCTCGACCTTCGGATGAAAAAACGCCATCCGTCCCGACGAATAGCCACGAAGATGAGGGTACTAATCAAGGAAATGATGACGAAACTCCGCTCCCTTGCCTTGGAACCTCCAGACGTAGAACTGTGCCAGAACCAATTAGCGAGTATAAATCGTGTCGAAAGCGGAACTTGGAAAACGAGGCGACGGATCCTTCTAGTCAAGTTCACGAGGGATTAGATTCGGATTCTGAAGCTGACTTGGTTGCGTACCGCCGTCGCCTGGCTAGGTTGAAGCAGGAAAAGGCTAGCAAATCGTTCCCATCCGTCAGTCTCCCTCGTGCAGGTGCAGGCAAGGGTGGTAATGTGGAAGTGCCATCGACTAGTCGCGTCAAGTCGTTTCAGGGTCGAAGTAGAACAAATGCAGAGCAGTATCTGGTAAAGTATCACGGTGAGACTGCAACTGATAACAACAAGTCGCAGGAAACAGTTGCAGACTCTCAAGAGCATCTCGTGCCACCGCAACATACTAAAGCCGAGCCCAAGATATCTGATGATTCTGACGAAAAGGACATTGGCAATGCCGGAAATTCTAATATCAACAATTTTTCGAAATCCAGAGCCCCCTTGTCTAATATGGAATATAGGGAGACTATTCCTGAGACTAGTCCTCCAAGCACTTCTGTGGAGCCACCAAAATTATTAGATGATGGAGTGCACCTTGGTTCCAGTGCTATGTCCGAGTCCGAAACTCTCCCATTGCCGGCGCTATCAAACGGTATAAATCCTGGAGAGCAGCAAAAGGATTCAAGCGGAACCCCAAATCTTCCAGAGCAGCCTACATTGATATCCGCAGGTCGAAAACCCAGATCCACCAGAGATCAGTCTACTTTAGACTCTTCGCCCTCTGTAGTTCTAGCATCATCTCCACAGAGTGCAATCCGGCAGTCGGTGAGGCTGAACGACGTAGTCACGCCGTCATCTACCGGACGTGATTTACCCCCTGCCTCAGACCCTAGGACGGGAACGTCAACTTTATCAACCTTATCAGCAACCCCCAGTATGTCTTCGAGTATCACGCCTAGTACAGATCCCGATGTCGCACTTGAAGGTGTAGAAAGACGTAGTTCGTCCCCAGCCGTAACGAAAGTACAACGTCGAGGAAGGCAATCGCTCCCATCTTCACTGCCTCAAACCAAGACATTTTCACGTTCTCGAGAAAGTCTAAGAAGAAAGACGCGTTATAGTTCAGTATCAACCGACGAATTAGCTAGATCACCATTATCTGCATCTGATAGGAACGAACGGAAACCACCCACCCGAAAACTTGCAAGGCAGTCTTTCGGCAATCAACATCCATTACAAGATTCGACAGCAAATCGTGGAATCTTCGAAGGGATGGTTTTTGCTCTCTCTTTCCAAGGGCCACAGGTCCGGAAGAACAAAGGGAAACCCACGGATAGGGCTAATGTTGAACGTATGATTCGCCAAGAAGGCGGTAAGATTCTCCCAGATGGTTTCGATGAACTTTTCAAATTTGATTCATTCCAAGCCACGGGGAATAACACCTCTTCTCGTGACCTATCCAGCTCATTAACACTTCTTGATCAAGATATTGGATTTACAGCTTTGATAGCCGATGGGCACTCCCGGAAAGTGAAATATATGCAGGCTCTTGCACTCGGCATCCCATGTTTGGCACCTAAGTGGATAATGAACTGCATTTCGAAGAGGGAAATAATAGATTGGTCCTCATACCTCCTATGCGCCGGTCCAAGTACACTCCTAGGGGAGGCTATCCGCTCGCGCAATCTACAACCTTATGATGCCTCCACAGCCAAGCTAGCAGATGTGGTAAACGAAAGACCAAAATTATTAAACAAGGCACGGATTCTTCTCGTTATGAAGAAGACTAAGAATGAAGGAAAGAAACTACCATATGTGTTTCTGGCACAAGTGCTTGGTGGTTCTTTGGTGCGGGTTTATAGTCTTGAGGAAGCCAGAGTCAAGCTTCGGGATGAGGAATCCCAAAACCGACCGTTCGACTGGGTATATGTCGACGACTCTTTGCATAATGCACAGGATGCTCTTTTTGGATCATCTACAGGAAACACAGCTACTAGGAAACGAAAACGGCAGAGCACAGGATCCGAGGAAGCCGACCCGCCGCCGAAGAGGATTAGGACCCTCAGTGACGAGCTGGTAATCCAGAGTCTTATTTTGGGGAGATTAATTGAAGATGGCGAAATGGAAGAGTAAATCCGACCTTGGTTCATATTATACCTAGGGTTGGTAATATGTCATGATGATATGGCGTCTTGGTCGGGGCATCTACTGGCGTCTTGATAGGGTATTTTTCACGGTATTGACAGGGAGCAAGAGATGCTATTCCGATTGGGAAACAGCTAATGTACATTATGAATTATAAATACGGTGGACGACATTGAATTCTATGGTTATAGGTTATAACCCATGCTCGTCAGTTTTTTTTCTCTACTTGGTACACTAGCTTCCCAAGAATATACAGTATGCACTATTCGGTAGGGATGCGAATAGCTCGGCTAATTAAGATGCACTGCAAGCAAGGCTTTGAGGCTTCGCAAGATATATCTCGGGTGGTAACGAATCTTAGACGATGTCGTCATCCCGACGAGATGCATCAACTATATAAAGGTTGTGCTATAGCGGCCTTCCCTGATTTCTAGCTAAGGGGATACGTTGCTAAAATGGCGTCGAGATAAGTCGCATAGCCAAATCAGGACCCTCCTCAAGTCGTGCAACCCCCGTTGGTTACCAAAAAATCAATAACACATGTAGAATGTGCCGGAATGAGAGATAAAAATGAGAAAAAGGGGACTCTTCGGCCAGATCGAGATCTTGAGTTGCGGCCTAAAGTTAAACCCTAGTCGTTTAGATAATGTAGTAATAATAAGGAGGTTGTTGGAAATATTTGGAAGTGCAGAGACCGACACTATCCCGTTAAGAGGTGGGATTTCGAAGGATGGGGGGGAAAAAAAGCGCGTTCCTGACGCCGGGGGAGATAAGGGGCTGGAAGCAGAGGGGGATAACTCGCAATGTTTTACCCACTAACTACTTGCCTTTTCTTCCCTCTTTGTATTATTTCCCTGCAGGTTTAGTTACAAGATAGCAAGAGAATATATTCCGTATTAGCTCCCCAAACGAATTACTAGGGCCGGACGAAATTGGGGCAACTCCCATTCTACGAAGTTCGATAATAAAATGTCTTAAGGAAAGAGAGCCGCCGCAAGCTCCGGCGCCGCTACGAACCTTCCCCGTCTCATGCCCGCTTTAAGGTGTGAGTTCCGAGATGGAGGTACCAATCTGATAACATTGTTGGTTTGAGCATAAAGTTATACAATATACTTGCATGCATGAAAAAAAGAACGGCCCAGACGTTCAATTGAATGATGTCCAGTTTATTTGCCCATTCTTTAACGAGCGATTTCGAGATGATGGAGACATTATTATTTTGAGGGGAAGTGAAAGAGAAGATAAAGCTATTATGGCGGGGCTGAAAAGAATTGCCTATCGCAAACCATTGTTGGCAGCACGGCACGGGGGATTATGGATAGATGTGGTGAAATTGATCCTATTCACATCACACACTAACTTCTTTGTTCCTAGGTACATGAGAGTTTCGATAGTCTCGGGCTAGAACAGACCCGGCTGCATACTACAATCCGTCGCAAAGCAGCAGCATGGGGAATTATCATGCATGAGAACGGCACGCACGATAGTACCATACCAACATTCCTATATTACCTGGTACATACCTATACCTACTCTTCTTACATACATTATGTATTTACATGCAACTAGCCTGGTCGCTGAATGTATCACAATAGGTAGTACATGGATATATGCGAGGATATATGCGAACTCAAAAGCCTGACCGCCTGGATCTTTTTATCGTCGCATTGCAGCTTTGCTTTTAAGCTCTCGTGCCGTGCTAGGACACATGCTGACATGGAGCCCAGCCTTCCCAGAGTCCCAGCGCATGCGGGATTCCAGCGTGACGTCCCGTAGCAAATGCTCCGTGCTATCCATACAACCTCATTCTTCGGGAGAGTAAGTCAGGTAAGCCTAGGTCGCTGGGGAAAAATTCTAGAATCGAACCATTCGATGAATGATTCAATTAAGTTAACCAGGTTCTCTCGGCCGCTGGCCGCCGAGACTAGATGGTATCTTACATATTGTCATATAAAACTGGCGCTGCTATGTCGGAAACACGTGCTCTATTCCATAAGGCCAGAGCTCCCTCCGCATTGTAATATTAGAGCTTAGGTATAGATCTCAGCCCGACAAGTATAGCAAAACCATATGATCTGATAATGTCTTCTTTTGAGTTGTATAGCATGCGAGCTACATACTATGTATCAGGAGCCGAGTTGGAATTATTCACCAAGGTATTTATCATACCCAGTTATCGCACAACTCCACATATGCTTCGTTTACGTCAAGGGTTTAAGGCATTGGAATAGGTAGTTACGGAATAGCAGGATAACAGGTAGCCTACCTAGGTATGTATGCAAACAGTTGATACTTAAGCAGGTCCCTAATAGACTTGTAATTCGCCGATTGGCACCGGCCCTGGGTCCGCTGGTGATGTTACTATTATGCTTCTATTCCAACATGACTCGAGAGGAATTGGAGACTCTAACTTAATATAAGAAAACATTGAACACTCTACATGAAATTCTATGCTGCTGCATGGGGGTCAAAAGTGAACAAAGCTTGGCAATGCACGTCCACATCCCCGGCCGAGCCTCGCGGAGCTGAACAATAGAAACAAACGACATTAACTATTATATCCGATTCTGCCTTGCTTTTTTACTTACATACATTTATCTATCACCCCACGATTGTGCCAAAAGTCTTATAGGTCACATCATCTATCTTGTAACAACCCGAGGGTCTTTTGGAGCTTTCTTTTCCTTGCCCCTCCTTAACCTCTATGCTATAGGTACCTATATATCGAAAGAGAAAGAGACAATTCTCATGTAACTAGTCGGACTGGCGTCTCGCTTTCTACCGAGGAATTCTTGGCTTCTGTCATTGTTGGCGAAGCCGAAAGGAAAAAAAAAAAAAAAAAAAGGATACCTACCTAGGTATGCAATTAGGTAGGCCGTCGGTCTATGCGAAAGTGGATAAGGCTTCGTCATCATAATCTATCCAGCTTTATTGTTCCTGAGCTATCGGTGCTAGCTACTGTAGATAGCTAGGCCTTCTTAGTCTTGTTAGTCTAAAAGCCCCAGGCCAATTGCCAATTCGCCGAGATAAACGGATGTGCTGGAAGATATTTCGTCACTATTTGTCGTGTTCATGTCACCTACCGAACATATAAAATGCGAATTCACGTTAAGCAAACTTGAGTATGTTTGCTACAGGGTATCTACTAGGAAACGCATAATAAACATACCTACAGATGTAATAGGTATGAGCTTGACGACGATTGCAAGGGTACCGTTTAGAGTAAGTGTGGGGTTTTGCTGGGCTGACAGGGATCTCACCTGCTTACTTACAAGACTATCCCAAACCGGCCATAAGTCATATCGTTGATAGGCTTGGTACCTAACCTAGGTAACCATCTGTACCTACGCAAGTACCTATCATAGTTAGTCGTAATGCCCGTAGCAGCCCTTAAAACAGCCCTAGAAGACAAAAAACTACCTAAAGGGTACCTATCGTACGGGCTACAAGCCTGCAGTTTCCCGTCACATTGCGCAAAATACCACCTATCGAATAAGGCCGGCAGCACGGCATGAGCATAAGCATGGCAGGAACCATGGGAGCCCTTGGGAGACTATAGGAAATTCGATCAATGACAAAAAAAAAAAAATCAATTGCGCGCACAACCAAAAACCAGGGGAATCCCATCTACCATCACCCACGTCTAACAATCCCATTCACGATCCTCGCTCCCTTTTCCCCGCCTTGGATGGCATAGTGGGCAATGGGCTGATGCTAATAACTCTTCGAACAATAACACCGAGACGAACGATCGATTCCATCAATTGTTACCGAATCAAGAAGAATATAGAACCATAGAACCATAGAATCACCCAGACCTTTTTTCAAGGTCACTCTTTTCGTTAATAAGTAAATAAGCGGTGGTGTAGGTGTCATCATGTCATCAGGGCTGTCCTCCGCTTCAATTACTTACTTACATACCTAGTACATATATGTATCATACATATATGTATCATACATATATGTATGTACTCGTTTGCAGTTAAGACTTCTCTCTCTCCTCATTCCAAGGATTCCGAGGCATTTCCATTTATACCGGGGGTGTGTCGAAGATCTATGACCCTCCAATATAACTGCTAGGCCCTTCCCTCGATTTATAAAGTCTTTCTCTCCTCACCTTAGCCTCAACTTGATCTTTGATCTTGACCTTGACCCTGATCTTGGTTTTGGCCTTGCATGTGTCGTAGCGCAGCTATTCCGTATTTCCTGGCAGCCTGGGCAACTTGGAGGTGATCGACATCGGTAGCGAGACCGTATTGACGCCGCCATTGGGCAATCCCTTCTTTAAACGTCAACAAGATATCGAAATCACGTCAACAGCTACGAAGTGATTAGCGACCAACGAGGCCGCCTGCTTCAAAATTCAACCCTGATTGGCTGCACTTGCGGACAAGCTATTCGACACTACACCGAATTGAGCGCTTTCAGCTAGGATTGCCCTCTGTTTATCGCTTTGCGCCACTTAGAAGCGAGCAACAATCGCTACAGCGGTACTCAACCAAGTCGCTACTAGCAAGAATTAGGTACCTCTTAACAATAAGACAAGTGAGCCGACTCGGCGTAAATTATCGACACTCACTTTGTTTTGCATCCCTCGACTCACGCAAAAGAGAAAGAAACGAGACAAAACACAAGAGCAAGAACAAAGTATCTACAAGGAACTTTGACGTCGGCGCTATTAATATTGTATTAAAGAGGCAGGGCTCATATTATACGGAACCAAAACCAAAACCAAAACGAATGCCAATGCGCTGAAGCGCTCTACCTCTGCTTAAGAACCACGAATGTCCCTTGTCGTGGTCTCGTTTATTCAAGCAGGTTATTAGTTCTCTTGTTCTTGCGGCTACCACTGTAGCGCTAGAGATACGACGGTCCCCCACCCAAGACAAATCCAGCCCACTTCGAAAACGCTAGACAACGGAGTGTGCGAGAAGAAAAAAAAAGGATCCCTCATTGGCACATTCCACACGTGTGTCAGCCAGTCAGCCAGTCAGTTCCGGCGACTGGACATCATCCACATCAGCAAAAGGCACAGCCTATGCAACGTTGACTTGCCCAGGTACCTGACTACTCTTACCTACCAAATATCCAAATCATTTGTCTCGACCTTCTATTCACCTCAAGCCACCACAATCACACGATATTATTTTATTCAAAAGAAATTCAAACAGTACATAAAGCATCATTGTGTTGCGGACTATCTCGGTACTCGAATTATAAGCGCCAGCCGCCCGCTATATACCCACTGCCCCCAAAGAGTCTGACTGCATACATGTCTCATTAAACGAACTCCATCAAACGCCTACCTTCACAGACGCCTATCGCTCCCTCCGCCGACCCAACGCCGATCCGGCCTAGCTAAGCGACCCATAGGGATAAGCAGTTTGGATCGTCAGTGCTTTTTTTTTTGTGACTGGAATTCCGAAAAGGGAGAAGAGGAGAAAATCCTTCTCAACCATGTTAGGCCAAGATCATAATATGAGAATGAGATCTCTCGATCCGTCTCCTCAAGTTTATTCCCACTCGAGATCAAGAACGTCTTCCTCCAGCGTATTCCCACAAGCCTTCACTCCAATGCAGCATCTGCAACAACCGCAGCCCTCTATGGGCCATACACGGCGATCCCCCTCCGTCAATACATTCAGCACCACCTCCAGCAACACCCCACCTGCCGCCTACCGAACGTCGCCTACTGCCGATATTCGACGTAGCACGTCCTCGAGATCAGGCGGCGGTCCTTCGACAAGCTATGTCGCCTTACTTCGAAAGCAAAAAGCCACCGTATGGTGCGATCGGTCACAGTCAGAAGACCCGCGACTCCTGGCTCAACAGCGTTTGGCGAAACAAAGGGCCAATCAAGAAGTCACTGGCGGTGCAATGCAAAGCCGCACTTCGACCGGGATAGGAAGCACTGGCGGCAAGGTTGCCGCTAAGATCCGCCATCACGGCAAGCCTGGAGTGGTAGGGTACACACCCGACAGCAATTATATGGGAGTCAGCGGAGTACCGATGCGGTTGAGCGCTACCGAGGTTGAGGGCGAAGACGGCGACGAGGATGACTTGTCGATGCGCCGCCTGCATCACCGTAGGACGGGTAGCAGCGGGCGTAGTAGTACTGCCAGCAGCAGACGAGGCCTCACATATCGTACTTCTGGTGCTTCTCAGAACAGCAAGAGATGGAGTCCTGGTAATACCCCGGAACGCGCAGGCAGCATGGTTATCGAGGACCCTGAATATATTCCTGGGGACGACAAGTTGGAGCGACCGCAGAGCACTCGAAGTGGGAGTAGCGCGGAGAGGGCTGATGCTTTACCCGAACTCGGTAGCGTTAGCGCCGCTAAGCTTGCGAGTAATAGTCTGATGAACGCCGCACTTACGAGAGAGAAGAGCGTCAAGAACCCAGAGGACCTTCGACGCCGGGGTAGTGTGGACGAGCGTACGATGACCCTTACAAGCGGGCGATTATTTATTGCCAACCCCGATTAATAAGGCAGACTTTTATGTTATGTCCTTTTTACTATCTTCGCATTTCATTTGGACGGTCAAGAACACTGCGGTGTATTGGGGCCATATCGAAGGATATCTTGCATTGCAACGGCGTTTATTGGGTTTTGAAACGGAAGAGGTCATCCTCAGGGCATATTGAAACCTTTAGGAACAAAGGCTAGCCCTTCATACGGTCGTTCATGGTTTTGTTGGTTCAGTTTTGATTTTTATCTTCGGAGCATATACCCTCGCTACCGCTTCGGAACTTGCTTTTAGTTGTTTTTTACATGCCGAACTTGTTGAGCGAGACGGTAGCGATCCAAAAGTCGGTGGAAGCCAGCGGTTATGAAATTGTGTATCTTTGCGGCCTTTGAGCCAGAGCGTAATTGGTAGTTTGAGCGAGGACAGAAGAGACCAAGATGGATGCCAATACTACTAGGCAGATGTATTGTTGTCACAAGAATTATTATCCACACTACTTACCATAAGTGATAAGGAGAGAAGAGGAGAGTATACGATGGAAAGATAAATATCAACTCCGGAGACCGCTTGCGGCTCCAGATATTCAAGCCATTCTCTGGGTTTAAGCGTGCTATATGTGATATACGAAACCATTGTGATCTATATCGTTATTTTTATTTTTACAATGTTCTGAAGAAGCTTATTGTTTTGTAGTTGACCAAGTGACTTGAATTTCTTATAGAAGACTCATCATAAGCTCTATTCTTAACTTCCAAGGAGAAGTTACGAAGTGTCTATATGCCCAATCTTGGGTATCCTTATCACTAAAAGTCAAGGACCTTTGCTAAATATTCTTGGCTCTCGTGTTATGGGGAATATTCGATTTTACTATCTGTAGCTCGAATTGCGCGAGAGCTTGATAATATTTCGCTGCTTCGGAAGATCTCCAAGTCGCGAGCGGAATAAGTTCGGGGGTTTGTTTATTTGTAAACTTCAGTTGGGGAAACTTTTCAACTCGTACAAGTTTCGTATGTATTGTGTAATACATGTAGCTACATACGTGGTTTATATCGTACAATTCCATTCCGTTCGATAGTGTTCAATACAACATACGCTTATCCTAATTGATAACCTGGTTAACTACCTATATTAGGTACCTAGGTTAAGAATTCATCCAAGTCTCCAAGTCTACATAGCAATGGCGGAGCATCCTTCCTTCACACTGGCGGCTTTGCGTAAGTGTCACGTGCGATGTGTCTGGATGAGGTTGATATAAGTGATTGAGCGCTGGCTGACCGAAGGATACCTACACGTATAGTTGCCGCTGGCGGGACTGCTGGATTCATCAGGACGGGCTCGAGGCCGTCGCTTATCGCGGGTCTGGGATTAGGAGCGTCTTATGCGCTTTCCGGTATGTGTTCTTCCTTGGCTACCTGGCTACTCGACTCTTGCCTCTTCTAGTCTTGTTTAGCCCAGTTCTGTGTTTCTTACCTAGGTACCTCCTACTAATGGCTGGCTGGCTGGCTGGTAGGCTACCTCATAAAAGGCAACAAGGACTACGGCACGGAGCTCGCGCTAGGAAACAGCATCGTCCTGCTGGGCTCGGCCGTGCCGCGCGTCATCAAGACTAAGGCCCGCGCTCCGGTGCCCATCGGCTTGCTGGTTGCCGGCGCGCTTGCCACGTTCTACTACCAGAAGAAGGTCCGGGAGTTCCGGTTCGGCGTGTAGGGTTTGAATTGTTTAGGAAGTGGGTATGAAAGAGAGAGAGAGAGTGGTCCCTCTCTGAAGAAACCCGGGTTCGGCTGGTTATCGATCGATGTGTAAGGTATCAGAAAAACGGTGGGTTTGTATGATAGTAGGTAGCTAATTGTGTATCCCTCCTCATGCAAACAAAGAACAGCTCGACCGAGTTTCGGCTCACCACGTGGATTTCAGATTCAGGAACCACTTTGCATCTTCACATGTTCACGGCTTTCATGTAGTAGTAGTAGTAGTAATAATAGTAGTAGTAGTAGTATGTTTTCGGGTTTGCCGATTACCCAGGATCCAAGGCCGTCGAGTTGGAACCAAAAGTCAACCCTCTCTATCCACATAATTAACTGATCACTGTGTCGTCCCACGAGCACCGCACTTCTTCGTATAGCCGCCCTACGAGAGGGTTTACCTAATTTCGGGTGTAGCCTTGACGTTCCCGCCGCTGACAGGTCCGCTGGGCTGGATGGGCATATATAGAGTAAGCACTTTATCCGCGGAACGGCTGGGATTGACGGTTCTTTTGATAGCCTATGCAGCTTGTGGACGCGCGGCCAAAGTAGCGGTGACTCTTACTATGCCCGCGATTAGCGGTGCCAGGTAATTCAGTTGATATACAGCTTGTGGATCATTGTGTGTGATCGGGTTTGGCTGGGACCTACCCGGTGATAATGGCATCAAACGTTACCAGACATTACAATTTAGTCTAGCGCAACTAGCAAACTACCTAGGAAACAAATCACCTACCAAGCAATAACTAATACATGAAGTACGGGAATAAGGTGTTAATCATGTACGTCTCTACATACCTAGGTAGTAATCTACTTCAGCTACAGCCCTATAGCCACTCTCCGTCACCTCGCCCCAAGCGGTTGTGGATGTGCCTCGATCTCTCTGACGATCTCTCTCGTCCGTGCGTTATCCACAAAACTCAGGCCGATCAACTCGACCACTTCTTCAACTGAAAAATATAGACTAAGCTCGCTCTCCATCCACAAATAACGTACGTCCTGGAGATTGCTCTGCAGCACCTCGCTGAGATACTTGAGCCTTAGCCAACTGCCGGCGTACTCGGACGTAGTGGGGACCGCGTCCTTCGGTGCCCCCGGAGGAAGGAATAGGTCGTCGAGCTCTGTGATGCGTACGATTAGACTCGCGATATTGTACGCTTCATCTTGGCCGATGCCTGCTAGGTCCATGACGTCGGAGACAAGTTTCGCGGCGAGGGTGTCGACTAGTGAACCTACGGCTTGGCTCCAGGCTGATTTCGACAGAATAGTAGACCATGTTGCGGCGAGGGCACGCACGTGCCCGGTTGCGCTGTCGACTTGTGCTTCTAGGTCGGAAGTGGCGAGCCCGTCTTGCTGGAGAAGATTCTGAGAACCACCAAGTAAATCCCTCAATACTGTTCTTTGTGTGGACATCTCGGACGAGTAGGCGCGGGTCGCGAAGGACTGGAGCGCCTTGATGTCGTTGTCGAGGCGGAGCATCGCGATCGCGCGAGGCGTTAGATCTTCGCGAGTTTTCCAGTCCTTAGCGAGGTCCGAAAGCCGTTCGGAAAGGTAGGTCGCGTCATTATATAGGAACCTGAGCAAGAATGAGTTTCTACAAAGATGAATAATGAAGGCACACTTACATGTTGCCGCCCGTATTAAGAGTGTAGTAGTATGGTGACACGGCGCGGAACATAGCAAGGACAAGGGTTGGTAATGAAAAGAGGCCCCCAGCTGTTGACGCCATCGGGTTGCCGTCACTCCTAATATCCAGTTAGATCACCAAGATTCTAAGCCTGTATAACGAACGCATGAGCTTACCCAACGAGTGAGGCTGCATCTTCAAGAATAGCCGAGACAAGTGCTAAGACTGGTTCTGGCATAGAAGAAATATTATAAGTTTCTTTTAACGTCAACTCACGAGTCTGTGCATTTGAAGGTTGAGATTTCGGCGTCGGCTCTTCAGGGGCTGATTCTATCGTATCCTCTTCACCCCATCCCCATGCTGCTGCAGGGTCTTCTTCAACTGCTGGTTCCGTTTGGGGCTGTTCGCCTACGGTATCATCTTCACCCCAACCCCATGCATCCGTTCCGTCATCTTCGTTTGCCTCTGGTTTTAAATTGGCGTCTTTTTGAGTATCTGTCTCCCCATCATCCCACGCTGCGCCCCAGTCATCATCGTCATTCGAAGGGCTAACACCGTTAGCAACCAATTCCTTGCCTTCGGACCGCGTGACGGATTGAGTTTCGACACGTTCTACTTCCTTCGGTTGGCCGAGTCCTCGGGAAAGCCTCGTACGAACGGTGTCTAATGCAGTTTCTTTACATTTAGATAACCACACCCTCGGAGCATCGTCAACCCACTCTTGTAGCTCTTGGAACCCAGAGAGTTTCAAACCCCGCAAGCGGCTGCAAAATGCCCTTACAGCTTCCGTAACATCTTGAAACTCGTCCATTTCTTTTAGAGATGCTGGAACTGCTATGTCTAGCCAAGTGCTTATAAGCCGAGGGACGAGGTCTTGCATCATTATGTTGGATAGGGAGTATACCAACTCTTCCGGTAAGCGCTCAGATAGATAGGTCATCACCTGGTCCAGATCGGAAAATAAAGCAGTGATAGACCTATCTGCGCTCCCACCCAGAGTTAGATACGACTAATTTTCTGTTAGTATCTCGCGAACGTGACGGGAGGGGGGATTCATACACCCTCTAATTGGATCTTGGGTAGCTCCTGAGCTTCAATGTTGGTGCGTGGACCGACAATGGTTTGGTCGATGCCATGCCAGAACGAAGTCATTTTTTTATCAAGTTCCTTGTACGCTTTTAGACCTACAACAGCATCGGCTAGACTCATCTGCTCATCTATGAGGGGTTAGATTGTCCGTGACGTATTTGGCTGCGGTAAATACCTTCATGACTTTGAAATACAGCAATCTTTCTGTTCTCTCGGTCTACCTGTACTAGGGAATCCCAAACCCGGTCGAGCACATCATGAATCGTGGATTTCAATTCGAAAGCCCTTATGTCAAGCAGTTTCATGACACGGCAGGATTTTCCGACGGGAATTGCGTCCAACCCAGACCAAGATTCTAGAATCGATCAGCGACGGACAATGACAGGAGGCTGAATCTCTTACTTTCTAAGAGATGAAGAGAATCCAATATCCTACGCTCGTCCCGCGCTTGTTCAACCTGGTCTAAGAGCCCATTCACGTGTTTGATACTCCCTAATGCAAGGTGGACTTGTTGGCTGTATTCAACCTCTTGTTGCAGAAACTTAACTTTAGCTTCTGCTTCTTCTATTGCTTTACCTGATACGTCAGGTGCTTGCGACCGCCGCAGGATATCGTTCGCCCATGTTCGCGATCGGTTTATATCATCTTCGAGCGATTTCGCATTGGTGATCCATTGGTCTACGTCTGGGGCAGTCTCTTCGTTGATCTTATGGATGTCAGACTACAACAGTTTAATTAGCGGCTGACTTAAATCGAAGCTGATAGCCATTTAGAATACCTCTAGTTTTATCTTCGCTGTTTCCAATGATGCTAAAGCTGGCGCAAGATCTTGCGCTGAAATTCGTCGCGATGATATGTCTTCATCCGGGAAAATGCCGTGTAGGGAGAAATCGACCAGCGCCTGGCCAATTTGGCCCCCTTCTTTACTAGACATAGCGACGTGCCGGAGATGGCTTCTTCGGAGTTCCTTTAAAATAATGACCTAGGTCGGAAGGTTCAACGACAGGGAAAGCTATGCAGCATGAATAACAACAATGATGAGCTGGCCAGCAGAGATACTAGTCATCATCAGATTTCGAAAATATATTAGTCGCGTAGTTATATATAATACTTATTCTTATTGGTAATTAAATTGGGCATGAAGTTCTTCTAGAAGCATGGCTGTACAAACAAAGACGAAGCTTGTAATCGTATCGTGATAGCTTCAAAAAGAAAAGGCTACGTCAAGTTTGGTATTGGACAAATCATTCTAAGGTCTGGTTGTAGTGAAGCTTGGACCATGTTACCAAGCTAGTACCCTGGTAGTGATTTATGATAGGTCATACTGTTAAGACCCACTCAATGGCGGCCGCTTATCTGGCGCCTAGCGCTTAAGCGCTTGTTACGCAGCCTTGTATCGATTGTAGCCCCGCCGCGGGGTTAGTAGGACTAGAAACAGGAGGAGCAAAGGGATTTGATCTTATCAAAGTACATGTAAGGAGAAATATCGGAAGCTTAAAAAAAGAAGTAGTCACAAATAATTGCACCAACCTTTTAAGTCCTCGCCGTATCTCTTCCACTCTAGTCTCTGGTTATCCAGAAGATTCATACTTCAACTCTAACCTCTTTCGATAGAATCACATCCATTACGTTATTGTACCCATCATTAATCTTAGATTTGCTTATTTGTCTTTGTACAATTTCTACCTTTCCCCTCTTTTGTATGACCTACAAGTCGGCAGTCCTATGCCTGAATAATTCGTACGGAAGTACTGCGTGCCTGACACACCACATCATCACATCATCCATTAAGCTGACGCCAGGATTTGGACCAGGATTTGGTACCCGAAATTTGGTCACTTCGACCTGCAGCTGGTTCAGATCGAAACCACTCCAGTTTTCACCTCGATCCTATTGGTCTTCTCCTACCGTGTCACCAAGGTCACCAAGGTCACCAAGGTCACCAAGGTCACTAAGGTATGTCAGAGACATTTACCCTCTTATCATCTGAGATTTGCATTCCCCGGATCGACCTTGTTGAGCACCAAGTACTTCATTCAAATACATACATAAATCCTTCTGAGTAGCTACCGTCACTATTAGCTCCCGTTGTCTCGTATCCGGTAGCTTCTTACAAAAAGATGGGTGTAAGGATACACAGACTATTTATAATACTATGATCAGTCAGGCGCAACTTAAGGCATCGCTCTCAGCTGCTCTAGTCGCTATCATTGGTACCGTCATTATCTTCTACCGCCAGAGGGTTGGTGATATTGGGTATGAAAACCTACCTTAATGTGATCGATCCCAATGTGCATAAGGAGTGGATGGATGGTGTGTTATCGGAGAAATCTGATGCAGTAGTGGAAATTTCTTCTACTACATGTGTCTTACTTTTCGAAAAAGGTAGCATCTAACTGGACGCCGGACTCTAGTGACGACGTACCCTGACCGCACCTTGACTCCTCATCACGGGTTTTACTGTCGTCAGTACGGATATGCCTATATTTATCCATCTATAGAAGTCTTTTTAACATGTTTATATTTACCAATCCGTAGTCATTTCGCTATCTTTTTTTTCTTTTCTTATTTGTTAATGTGGACATATACTTACTAGCTGAGCAGCCACATACAAACCGCCTCGTTTAAGTCGTTCGATTTCAAGATGGGGTCACAGGGTACTAGTGTACGATTTCGTAAGCTTCAAAGCTTCCGAACGGATTACGCCCATGCATCCATCACCCAGTATGAATCAGAACGAAGTGGTATGCAGGTCATTGTGACCGACCGAAAGGGCCCAAAGGTCAATGGCTACTTCACCTTGGCCACTGAAATTTTCGATGACTCGGGAGCCCCTCATACTCTTGAACACCTAGTATTCATGGGTTCGAAGAGCTACCACTACAAGGGGCTATTAGACAAGCTAGCCTCTAGAGCCTATGGGGGTACTAATGCTTGGACCATGACAGATCATACGGCCTACACTCTTGAGACAGCTGGTTGGGAAGGGTTCGCCCAGATTCTACCAGTCTATCTTGAACACCTTATCGTACCCACCATAACAGATGCAGCATGTCTGACCGAAGTCCATCATATTAATGGCGAAGGCAACGATGCCGGTGTCGTTTACTCAGAGATGCAAGGTGTGCAGTATTCAAGCGCGGAGATTATGGACATTAAAGCCCGACGCCTACTTTATCCCGAGAATGTTGGTTTCCGATATGAGACAGGCGGTATGATGGAAAACCTACGGGTTTTGACCCCAGAGAGGATACGCAATTTCCATAGAGAGATGTATCAGCCACGGAACATGTGCATTATCATCGTTGGCGAGGTTGACCATGATAATCTTCTTACTATACTAGGCCAATTCGAAGAGAGTGTCAAAGACGACCTCCCCCCTCTCGACGCTCCATTCAAACGACCATGGATAGAGTCTGCACAACCACCCCCTCTCGAGAAGACAATAGTTGAAACTGTTGAGTTTCCTGAAGAGGATGAATCAATAGGTGATATGGTTGTGGGTTTCTTTGGGCCAAGTTGCACCGATATTATCCAATCATCTGGCCTAACTATTCTATTGACTTACTTATGCGGATCTTCCGTCGCAGTGTTGGAAAATGTTATGGTGGAGAAGGAAGAGCTTGCTAGCTCCATCTCCTACTTGTGGGATGCTCGGCCAAATAGCGTCATCTGGCTTCAGCCGACCGGTGTAGCTACAGAAAAGTTAGCATTTGTTGAGCAACGGCTTATCTCTTTACTTAAAGAGGTTGCAGCTCAGCCGCTGGATATGACCTACATGAGAGAATGTATTCAGAGAGAACGGCGGCAAGTGAAGGCTCAAGCGGAAGAATCTGAATCATTCTATTCGACAAATATTATCACAGACTACCTCTTCGGTAACCGAGACGGGTCAACTCTCAAGCAACTTGCAAGTCTCGATGAATATGATATTCTAGAAAAGTGGACAGACGAGCAATGGCGGGCTTTCCTCAAAAAATGGCTTGCTGACGCTCACCATGTCTCTATACTTGGAAAGCCTTCTTTGCAGCTAGCTACGAAGCAGAAAGAGGATGAAATAGCGAGGATCGAGAAGAGAAAACAGGAACTAGGCGCAGAAGGATTAAAAAAGTTAGCCCAGAAGCTAGAGGATGCTAAGAAGCAGAATGAGGTTGAGATTCCGGCCTCAGTACTCGAGAAGTGGCCGGTACCTCCGATAGAATCGATTCACTTCATCGAATCTCAGACTGCACGATCAGGCATGGCTAGGAAACTTGGTGTCCACAAAAATTCTGCGCAAAAGATCATTGACCAGGCCTCGTCTGAGTTACCCCTATTCGTGCAATTCGAAGATGTTCCGACCAACTTTGTGCATATCTCAGTCCACGTCGGCACTTCTAATTTACCTGCGGCTTACAAACCTTTGCTGTCACTCTTCAGCGATAATTTCTTCAACACTCCTATTCGTCGAAATGGTGAGCGCGTCCCATTCGAGAAGGTGGTGATGGAATTAGAGAGAGATACAGTTAGCTATGCCCTGGATTCGGGCAGTAAATTCAGCGATTCGGAAAGCTTCCTAATTCGATTCCAAGTCGAGCCGGAAAAGTATGCTACTACTATCGAGTGGATCCGTACGATGATGTTTGACAGCATTTTCGATCTCACTCGTTTGAAGGCCTGTATTGCCAAGCAGCTTGCCGATATCCCCGAGGCGAAACGCGATGGTAGAGTTATGACCAGTGAAGTAGAAATGGCTATTCATAACGAGGCTTCGTCCCTACTTGTGGCGAAACGCACCCTTGTCAAGACTGTATATCTCCGTCGACTTAAGAAGCTCTATGACAAGGATCCTGAAGCGGTGATATCAAAGTTCGAGGAACTTAGAAAGTCTCTATTCACTTCCGATAACCTTCGAATTCTGGTCATAGCTGATATATCAAACTCGAAGCTGTCTGACCCCGTTAAAGCCTGGGATACACTCTCTAACTCACTCAACGCTCACGTAGAGTCCGTCAACCCCATCACTAAACCTCACACTCTTCTAAATAGCGAAGGTCGCAACCCTGGTTCTGTTGGGGCGACGATTGTCCCTATGAGAGCAATTGATAGCTCTTACTCCATCTGCTCTAGCAAAGGCCTTACCTCATTCTCCGACCCAGTGGTTCCTGCACTTCTAGTTGCTATGCAATATCTAGAAACTGTGGAGGGTACACTATGGAATGCTGTTCGCGGGAACGGCTTAGCCTACGGTGCCTACTTTGCAAAGGAGCTAGACGGAGGATACTTGCATTTTAAAGTATATAGGTCCCCCTTAGCATCAAAGGCGATTTCTGCCGCGCGTGATGCTATTGCGGCGTTAGTAGATGGCACTGTCGAGTTTGAGAAGCCTATGATTGAGGGTGCAATCAGCCAGTTGGTGATGGCCATGGCGGAGGAACAGGCTACTTTGGCTACCGCGGGAGTACAGAAATTCATAGTTGGTGCTATAAGAGGGCTTGAACCCGATTATAACATCAAGATGCTTGCGAAAGTTAGAAAGATATCGGTTGAAGATATTAAGCAGGCTATGAAGACATGGTTATTACCCTTGTTTGAACCTGGGAAGAGTAATGTGGTGGTCTGCTGCGCACATACAATGGTGGAGGTAAGTTATTTCATTCTTCACGGGATACGTTTGGGTCGTCTACATAACTAATGTTTTATAGCAACTCGAGAAAGAATTCAAAGCCATGGGATACAAAACCGAAGTGAAACAGTTATCAGATTTCCAAGGCGATTATGGCCTTGAAGACCCAGATGGCGAAGAAAATGGAGATGAGGAAGACGATGAGGAGGATATGGAAGATGATGAGGAGGATACGGAAGACGATTCCGAGGAAGATTGTTAGACCTATCACGCATCCTTTCGAGTAATACGCGTGGAAAGACTCGGTGTGTTATCGTTCGGACCCCCGGTTTGACAGGGTTTATACAGGATATAACGAGGGCTTAGAGTACGAGTTACGAGTCATCAACCTTCTCGGGGCCTGTAAATCCCATGACCAAGTCATAGCGAGAAGACATAAAAGCGTGTCTTACATAGAGAAAATATTCAGTCAGTATTAATGCTTCATTACTATTGCAGTTCCCACCAAAATCCCCGAGCGCCTGGTAAATTTAGAGAAAGGATATTTTCGCTGCCTAGCTTTGTAGCCTGCTTCTTTATGCTTTGCCAAGGTTAACCTTGGCAGGACCCTGAATCGACAAGCCTTTCTCACCAAATCGGCTGCCATGCACCGGGCAATCCCACGACTTTTCAACGCTATTCCAACACACCACACCCCCCATGTGTGGACATAGCGCGCTCATCTTAGTTATATTACCGTTCTCATCCTTGTACACAACGATCGGCTTCGACGCCGTGGGATTTAGAACGCCGCCGCACCCTAGCTTTAGGTCCTCGATATCTTGTATGTCAGATTGAAGGAGTCGCTTATACTGCATGTTGGCCTGCAGGTCGTTCTGGATCATGGTTGGGGCTGACTTAATGACGCTGCCGACCCGCTTCGGCGAGTATAGACTGCTCCAGGTATTAGGCGTGCCCTCGATTTCGTCCGCGATCAGCTTGCTGGCTAGTACGCCGTGCGTTAACCCGTTGCCGGAGTCGCCTGTCACCACGTAAACGCGGTTGTTGCCCTGGTTCTTCCCAATATAAGCCATGTAATCTACCGGCTCGAAGATCTGTCCGCTCCACTGATACTCGACGGACTTGGCTTGTGGAAAGCGTTCGCGCGCCCATTGCTCTAGTGCCTCGAAGTGCCCTCTGGAGTCTTCCTGGCCGACCTTGTGGTCTTCACCTCCGACGATCATATAGTCGTCATCTTCATCGCAAGGGGTAAGCCGGATGTACTTATACGGGTCGTCCGTGTCGTAGAGTAAGATGTCATCGACGCTGCCCTTAGGCACGCGTAACGCGATGCAATAGGTGCGGTCCCACTCCATTTGCACAATTACGCTGAGCTTCTGCAGCGGCACGTCTGTCGCCTCAACGGCGTGCTCGCAGCTTATCGTGTTGCCGGCCTCTGTCTCTACCTGGACGTACTTGTGGCCTAGGCCGAGCACTTCAATGCCTTTCTCCTTTACGGATAAGACCCGTGTCGAAGTGTAGCATTGGAACTTGGGCTGCTCCTTAAGCCACTTTAATACTCCGTTTAAGTACTTTGTGGGATGGAAAGCAGCCTGTTTGGCAAAAATTGCGCCTCCTCGTTGATCGGATTTGCCACCCCAGCCCCTGATGGTCAGATCCTCGTCGAATATAGCGTCAATCCCGAGTTTCTTCGCCATTTCAACATCTTCCTTAATCGTATCCATGTCCTTCTTGTGCTCCTCAGTACCTTTCTGGTGCTGTGATACACGGTACCCGGGCAAGTGACGGTATTCACAATCAATACCTAACTCCTTGGCAATTTCACCGACTCGGTTTAACGCCCAAGTGTGGCTTTCAGCAGCAGCTTTCGCCCCATCTTCGCCGTGCTTTTTGGCAATCTCCGGGTACAGGTCGTCTAACGCATTGGATAAGTGCCCGCTTGTCCGGCCGGTTTCCCCGGAAAGAACATCTCGGGCTTCTACGAGGACAACTTCTCTGCCGCGAGTAATGAGCTCGTACGCGATGGAGATGCCGGCTATGCCGGCGCCAATTATGCATACATCTGTCTCAATATCCTCAGACAGTGGGTTGAATCGGGGTCTCTTGGAGAAAGGGTCCCCGTGTATCCAGACGGGGTTCGTGATTCCCGATGTACGCACAAATTGCTCGAGGTCGTCAGCTACTGGTTTAGCCATGTTGCGTCTTGAAGAAGTAGAGAACGGTTGTAGCGGATTTCTTGACTCTAAACCCTGCGCTAGATTCCGGCCTTCAGCGGATGTAGTTATTCTAAGACTCCGTATGCCGTAACTAATGCTTATACGCGAGGGCGAGTAGATAATATTGCCAGGGGGGCGCGAGCGCTGGGAGAATGCGGTCACCACTCGCTTCATAGACGTCATGCTCACGCAAGAAGACACGTCGACATGTCAGACGGCTCTACTGTTCGACATAACATCTATCGAGTATTGGCGCTGCGACACAGCGTATTCTTATCCTTGCCGTACTATCGTGAGATGGACCCCTTATAGTTACGTCACTGTGACGGCTGGATGGTCGACGATGATTCAGCGTTATTATCAACGCGTTGATTTGACGAACTTACCCTAGCTAGGTAGTGTTTCAATGAATGCTCCGTAGCTTAATTATACGTTGAGTTAGATCCCAGCTGCTTAGATTTCCTGCGAACCAATATAGCCCATGTTATGTCGTGTAAGTAGAAGATCGTGAGTGTATCTTTGCGCCTCAGGTTCTGAGCGATGATGGCTTAGACTAATATAGATACAGTAATTACTAATTGCAATACTACGAATATTATATCTTATTCTTATGGTAAGTCATCACTTTGGAATTTTCTTTAGTCACATCTTAGTCTATATCTCACAATAGTATGCTATCCTAGTGATAGTATGACTTCGAAATTGATTGCGCTAACCTTGCACTACCTAATGATGCTATAAGAGTATAGAGGTAGTTTCGCATCACCAGAGTGTATACTCCGGGCCGTGATTCCATCATATACAGTACAGTTCTAAACTAAGGCTATATACCGTAATCAGACGATACGTCGTGTCATAGCCAAGCCGTTCCCATCCCTTATAAGAACAACACAACACATGCCCACCCTTATTTACTCAGCGACGTCAACAAACTGCAACCAGTCCTTCTCAAACTCTCCTTGGACTTCGGTGAATGACTCTAGTTGGGCAGCATTGAGTTTGCGACCTTCAAATGCAGCCAGACTCTCGGCAGCTTTGACGATGTTCTTGATCTGGCGACCGTTGAGTTCGTGCTTAGCCAAGAGATTCATTTCCTTCTCCGTAATATCCACGCCGCCCGGAACACGATTGCAGAAGTTGTGCCAGATCGTCAAGCGTGAAGCCTCGCTCAAGTTTGTATAGCGGAGGGGTACGTGGATACGGCTCGTGAAGGCGTCGTCGAAGGTGGAAACGCGGTTGGTTGTGAGGAAGAGGATTCCGCGGTAGTCTAGATATATATGTCAGCTTACTTACAGCAAAATGGTGTGATTTTAAGGGTTAGGAAAAAGGAAAAAGGAAAGCAGTAGCTAGTGTTCACTTACACTCAAGGACTCGTAAGAATATCGTAACCATCGCATTGCGCTTCAAGTCATGCAAGCTTCGGCGCTCCAGGAAAATATCGGCCTCGTCGATCAATAAAACCGCACCCCATGTCGTCGCAATGTCCATAATGCGCCCTAGCGTCGTCTCGAGCGAATAGCTGTCAGTTCCCAAGTCGCCAGCAGATACCATGTAGAGTGGTCGATGCACTGATTCTGCCACGCATTCGGCCGTCAAAGTCTTTCCAACTCCAGGCGGGCCGTGGAGGACTAATACAAGCCCCTTTCCTTTGCCCTCAACGATATCGTCAACTCCCGCGCCGGTCTGACCTCGTCGCGTATGCATGGATACCATGGCCTGAACTGTTCTCTTAGTAGTGGGGTTCAGAACCAGCTGATCAAAATAGCTTTCATCCCATTTGATCGGGGAGAGGTTTTCCACGAAGAACTCTAGGAACCTCTTGACTGAGAAGGCGAAGCCGCGCACGGTCGCATTGGTTATAATCAGATCCTCGTCGAGAAGCTCGTCGAGGATATTCCCGTTTGCGCCATCAACGCCTACGTTATATCTACGCATGGTGCGCTGGCGCTTCGCCGCTTCGGTTCGTGGAAGGTCGTCCAACTCGAAGTCGTCGCTCGGCTCGAAGTGCCGGTAGTTTTTGCAGTCGACCACGACGCGGCCGGAGAGATTAAACCGGTCATATTTTGCGGTGTTGAACTTGAGGGCCACTCCGCTGTACTGCATGAAGTGCTGGCCGGCCAGTTTCTGGAACTGGCGGCCTCGCTCTAGCAGGCGGGTGCGGAATTCGGAGGATGAAGAATGGAAGTCAAGGGGCATTATGTTGAGATCTTCGCAGCGCATGACACCTGAGTACTTGGGGATGCGGAACGTGTCCGTGCGCGTGCCGAATTTCTCGCCGTCGTAGTCGACGTATCTGAATCGGACGGCCAAGCAAGGCTCCTCGTCAGTTTCGTACCAGAAACCGCGTAGTTTGAACGCACGCGGCTGGCCTTGGATGCGAGTGTATAGGAGGCAGCCGGGTTTGAATATTGTCCAGAGGTACTCGTAACTGATCGGCCTCTGGTCGCTAGATTGGAAGCGTTGGGAGGCCTTAAAAGCTTCCTCGTGGACCTTGTCGATCCAATCTAGGAGAAGCTTGAGGTGTTTGCGAGAAGTCTCGTCGTCCTTAAACCGTTCCGTCCCTACTTCTTCTAGCTGCTTTCGGTAGAAGAAGAGACAATACGCCGGCAGGTCGAACTCGACTTCCTGCTGAGCGTCGACGGGATCATAGGGAAACCCGACAATGACATCTTCAAGAAGTTGTTTCAAAGGTTGCGGGTTCACATGCAACCGTGTGCATTTGAATGTCTCATTCTCCCTGAAATGGCGCGTCTCTGTAAGGGCGTATAGCTTCCACCAGTCTGGATTACCACTCTCTTTCTTAGGATTACGTTTGCTGTATACCTTATGGCCATCCTTGTCGTACTTCTTGTCTAGAAGTGCGAGCTCGCACGTCATCTGTTTAGGTTCTTCATTATTTTCTTGTGGCTCCTTCTCTGCATCTTGAGGCTCTTCTTTGGTGTCCTGAGAGACCTCTTGGGCCACCTGGGCCACCTCAGCCTCTTGGGACTCTTGCTTCAAATCAACCTGAATCTGTGTTAACATAGTTTCAAACGATCAAGTTCCCTGTGGCTTGACTGTGATGCTTGACGATAGGCTTAACTTGCCTAAATTGAGACATTTTACTCACTGCATCGGAAGACATGGTGCCACTAGAGTACTATATGCCCTTTCAAGTTGTAATATTCTTCAAGTTATGATATTTAACTGTCTACTAAATAATA